CATCCCCCTCAAGGGGATGTCTCGAAAACTCTCCCCAAGATTCATCGGACCCTATAAGATCACTTGAGTCATCAACCCCTCAGCTGTTCGTCTCCAACTACCTCAGTCCCTCCGAATCCACCCTACATTCCACGTGTCCCAGATCAAGCCTGTTTCTTCGAGCCCTTTGTGCCTACTGTCCGACTCCCCACCACCCGCCCTGGAGGTCGATGGCCATCCGGCCTTCACAGTGCGCCGCATCGTGGACTCCCGTCGACGAGGTCGTGGATGGCAGTACTCCAGCAGAGTCCGCCGTGGATCCTCTGAGGGAGCTCCCTGCACAGCTGCAGCTCGTCAAGATCATCAGAGGATCCACTACTTAAGCTGTCTTCAGACCTTGCCTCAACGCCGCAGTGTTGTTCCAGTTGGTCAGCGCTAAAGCCTAGATCCTCTGAGTATCTCCATGACTTTGAATCCAGTCTGGATTCTAACTATTATCTCTGTCTTCCAGGAAACCTGTGCCTCCTCTGAGAAAGCTCTGGAAGAGCTAACCTGCCGAGCCGACCCTCTGAGCCAAACCCTGAAGATCCCTCTGAGAAGCCTCAAGCAGCTCAGGACTGAGCTGGGACTTCCAAGCCAAGGTCTGTTCTAACAAGACGTGAGACGCTGAAGCAGCTAACGGACTCTGCTGATAAACCCTTCTCCAGAACCAACAGTGATTCTCCCAAAGTTAACCTCAAGAACCCTCAAGGTACAATCTGTGAACTTCTGGAAGTAAAACCCTGCCAGCAAACCGCTAACAGTGCTGTCTCTCACGCAGACTCCGGTGAACCAGTATCCAGGCCCCGAAACAGAATCTGTACATTCTGTGTGTTTGTGCTTTAATAAACTGTTGAACTCTTCATCCTTGTGTCCGTCAGTGGTGTTCTGCATAACTGGGTCGCCTTCAGTGAACCCATCATGACATATATATATATATATATATATATCACTCGGAAATAAAAATAAAAATGGAGCTTTGTATGTGAAGAAAGATTTAAAATTTATTTTATGAAATATTTACAATCATGTACAATGACTTAAGCATGTTGGCATGTCTTACACATGTTGGCGTAACATGTTAAAAATATCAGACCAAAATATAATCTAATTGCATGGACAGGTGTAAAAGGTGTGTCCAAACATCCGCCGTAATCCTTATACAGGGCACTATATAGTGGCTACACCATTTTAGATGAGTGCCCAAAAGTCTAGTGGATGGAGAAGTAGTAGACTCGAAATTTTCCACAATGAAACTTGAAAAGTAGTGATCATCCATGGTCACTAGATGAGCAGATATATCCCAGATTGCTTTGTGAGAGCTCTTCCCTCAGAGCATCAGGGAATTTGTCGTGGCAAAAAGAAAAAATAAAGATGGCGCATGCAGCGTGCGGGGAGGTTGAGTTACATGACCAACTGGGAGCGAAAAGTAGTGATCTTCTGTCCGGACGGTCAGTTAACTGAGTTCCTCATAAAGTCCACTATATAGTCCCACTATATATAGTAATTGAGGGGTTTAGGGGTTAGGGCGGATCTTTGGACACAGACATAGTCCCATTCTTTCTTGAGATACAGTACTCATACCTGAGTATAATATCTGGATAGTACGAGTCCAATCGATCTCCGCCCCCCAATTTCCCTTAATCATGAACAGGATCCCAAGAGACTTGAATGTCTTCATGGCATCCACTTTACACTCGCCTGTGAATTGCCAGAGTGCATGCTGTAGATCTTGGCTGGAGGGACTCACAGAACCACCTTATCTGCAAAAAACAGGGACAAAATCTGCAGGTCACAAAATGCAAACCCGCTCTGGCCCTTGGCGGGCCTAGAAATCCTTTCCATCCTGTCCTGTTCAGTCTGTGAACAGAACCAGTCACAGACACAGGCCCTGCCAGGGTCCAGCATGCACCAGGAACAAGTCTGATTTAATCCTGACAATCTGGAGTAAACTCCTGCTTTGCTTATACAAACAACGATGGATGGCCACTCTTAAAGTGTCCCTGAGCCTCTTTCAGTTCCCCCCAAGGTACATGGTCAAATGTTTTCTCCAGGTCCACATAATAAATGTGGACCTGTTGGTCAAAATCCCAGATACACTCAAGCAGAGGATGAAGAGCTTGTCCAGTGTTCCACAGACAAAATGGAAACAACACTACTTCTCCTAAAGTTCAACTATCAGCTGGAGTCTCCTCTCCGACAGCCTGGTATAGACCTTCTCAGAGGCGGAGATGCATGATACCCCTATAATTGGAACACACCCTCTGGTTCCCCTTCCAATAGAATGACCCAGTTTGCCAGTCCAGGGGCACTATTGCTAGCCTTAAGACAACATTGAAGAGGAATGTCCTAATGCAGACAATGCATCGGTCTGTTGTGGTGAAGAGAGATTTGAGTCAAAAGTTAAAGCTCTCGAATTTACCAGTCGGTCTACCCTCAACTACGGTCATTAAATTTGGATGATGACCGAAAGAACGAGATGCAACACACAATTTACTGAAATTAGATAGGGTGAGGAGCACGGTCATCTAAGAAAGGTTCAGAGAACAGCTGCTTCTCTTCCACATCAAGGAGAGTCAGCTGAGATGGCTCGGACATCTTTTTAAGATTCCCCCTGGACGCTTCCCTTGGGAGGTGTTCCAGTCACATCCCACTGGGAGGAGGCCCAAGGGACAGCCCAGGACACAACGGAGGGCATATACCTCTTAGCTGGCCTGGGGGTACCTTGGGCTTCTGGCTGTGTGGGGGGAGGGAAGTCTGGGAGTCTCTACTGAGACTGCTGCCCCGGCAACCTGATCCCTGACAAACAGAAGAGTATGAATACCAGAGTACCTTTTTAAAAAAAGATTCAGGAAAAATACTCATTGAACTGCTTTTAAGCATTTAATTTAAGCATTGAACTGCTTAAATTAAATTCTTATGTAAAACATTATATCAGAAAGAGGTTCAATTTCCTCCTTTGCTGAATGTTTTGGAAGAGAGAACATAAAATATTTTGACTTGGTCTTGTTTTGTTTTTCATTGAAATTTCAAACAGGAGAATCGTAATCAGTAATAATTATTAATCCCTTGCGGGAAATAATTTTCTTGCAGTGCAACCGTTTACAGAAGAGAGAAAAATAGGATTATAAGTACCAAAGTTCTAACCTGACTCCGCCAGATGGATTTGCTCCGCATATCCATCTGGAAACCTTCCGTTGAAGTAATTTTGGGAAGGGGCGAAAATACTGGTTAGCTGATTGGCCTATGTTGGTGATAGAGGGGCCAAATAAACCAATCAGATCAACGAAGCATATGACGTACTAACAGAGCGACGACCAAGAGGAGCCATTTGATAGATCAAACTCTTGCCGAAACCAGTCGGGGGAAGAGCAAAAACATCTTTTCCTCTGAGAAAAGCCTCCAGAGCAGTGTTTTGCTCTTCTTTCAGTGAAGAAATATTCTGTAATTCCGATAAAACTTGCTCGATAGCCATGCTAACGCTAGTTTCATCGGCTGAAGCCGCCATGTTCTTTAGACTGAACTGTCGCGCTTCTCGTTGCGTCACACCTCAACCCGCGTCAAAGCCAACGCTGATTGGACGTTCGTTTAAATTTTCTTTAACGGAGAGTCTCCAGACTGATTAGCGAGTGAAATCTCGAAAGCTCTCGAGATCAGGATGGTCTCACGAGGCTACCAAAGTTCCACATAAGCAGCAGAATACATTAGGAGCCCTGGTTTTCATAGCTTACAAAGCTGCAAGTAGCATCAAGATTAGCAATGAACTTCAAATATAATCAACATGTACATTTAGAATCTAAAGGAGGGGAAATGTCTTGGAGGTGTCTTCACCCATGTTGGTATCAATGTTTTTCTATTAACAAACTGCTCTGACTGGACAGATTATTTCCTTGCAGCTGTTATGTCATTATCAATACATGTAAAAGTAAAACCAAGCTCTCAGAAAGTAAATAGTAAGTACAGGTATTTGTGTTTAAATGTAATTTGTAAAAACCCTAAGAAAAACTAATACTCCAAATGTTCATGTATTTTTTATGGAAATCAAAAGAGTTTTTCTTTCAGTATAAAATGTAGTGTAATAAAATGTAAGTATAAAATGTTGATGAATTCAATGTTGGAAAAAAAAGCCTCTAAAATATATAAAGGGAATCTTAAAACTTCTAATCGAACAAAAGCAGTTAACTAACAAACTTTTCACCTCTCCATTTAGTGTTTGCGCTCCCCAATAGGTAAAGAAAGATATGAAAATGATATTCTTGGCCTGATGACAGCCATTTTTCATCTCTAGCCCTAAACAAGTCCTCCAACATGTGTGTGTGCTATCATTCCATCTAAGCCCCGCTTTCCATCCCCCTTGTTTTTTTCTCTAGCAAAAATTAATCACCTGTCTTCCTGTCTGTATGTGTGTGCATGGCCAACAGAAAGCCCACAGAGGTTTTTATCAGCTGATTTATTGCCCGGTTAATTCATAACGGCGTCCGATGATGATGAGCGGCCGGAGGAAAAAGTGTTTGTCAGTGTTGTTGTTAAAGGCCGAGAGAGAAAGTAAACAGAGTTACTCTTTGATGTAAAGTAACAGAGTTGAACGTTATTGATAAAATTTAATGAATAAGAAATGAAGTAAAAAGGTGGGACAGAGTCGGGCTGCCATTAACTTTGTAGAGCACAGAAATTCTGCTCTAATAAAGCATTGGTTTTAGTTTTGTCAGAAGGAGTTACTGTTCAAACAAAGTGATAGTGAGGGTTGCTTTGAAATGTTTGTATAGTTTTAGGTTGTATTTTCCTCTATTCTTCAGCCAGATGCTACAGATTGACTCAAATATACATTTAAATAACATTAGAAACACATTATTTAATAAAGAACTCAATGTACTATAGTCTGTGATACTTCTTTCCCTGCATTGCAGACATCTCTAATAAATCACATTTGACATATCATCTTCCTAATCAGATTTACAATGCGTCTTTGTTGCTGTGTCCAGGCTGCAAGCTCTCCGGAAGGAAAAGTCCAGAGATGCTGCAAGGTCACGACGGGGGAAAGAGAACTTTGAATTTTATGAATTAGCCAAGATGCTTCCGCTACCTGGTGCCATCACCAGCCAACTAGACAAGGCCTCCATCATCCGGCTCACAATCAGCTACCTAAAGATGAGGGACTTTGCCAACCAGGGGGACCCACCATGGAACTTGCGAATTGAGGGACCTCCGCCGAATACCTCAGTGAAAGGTAGGGCATCACAATTACGTCATGGATGTTATTTTGTTTCTTATAACTTAATCTATATACCTTTGTCTATTAAATATATATGCACACAGACAGACTCCTAAAGGAAAGTAGTCATTTTTATCTATTTTTACAGGATGAGGATTAAGATTTGTGCAATACTTTGTCCTCTTTATTGTCTATTGCCTATTGTTATACTACATTCACACCACATGCGCTTTGAGCTGCAGAGGCAGCAGGTTTACAGTCAAAGTCTATGGTTGACATGCATCAAGGCGCATCAAAAGGTCGCGCACTGCCTCTCGAGCATCCGGAGCCGCGCATCTTGACACGCGCCACATGAACCAATCAGAGAAGCTGATCTAAAAGCTGGCAGGGAGACGTACACAGCACTGCTGATGCAGAGCATTATGATCACTCCTCTGAATCAGTTTATTAACGCCAAAATTAACCTAAAATGTCGAAACCTGCCAGCAAAATATGTTCACCTTTATTATATAATCCTGAACTAGCTATGGGTCTAGATACGGCCAAGGCAGTGAGGAAGTGGGGGGCAAGTTTGTGCGAGAACGGAGGGACATGAGGGCGAAAAAGAGCGGGGATCCAGGTGGAAAAAGGGTCCCAGCGTTCTTGCGCACCTCGCTCTGTAAACAAAACAAGCCGGTAAGGTACCAAACAGGAGACGCATAGTGTAGAGCGTATTGTAGATTTGACCAATCAGAGGCCTCCTGTCTGTGGCACTGTCTGCGGTCGCCTACAATTTGGGAGAGGTGTAGCAGAGTGTCCAAGATGGCCTCTTATAGTCTGAGTTGAATCTATTTTTGCATCTCTCTGACAGTGAAACCACAAATGTTTCTTTTCTTGGGATCCTTACAACCGTCTTGGTAGCTAAGGAGGTAACAAATAAATACCGTGTTTCTTTAAAAAAAAATCTTTTTTTTTAATTTACCAAATTCTGACTTTTGCTACGTTTCCCAAAGTAAAACGAGAAGTTGTCTGATGAGATTCAGGTCGAAGATTTTTATTTATTTATTTTTTTTCAGAAAGAATGCAGATTTAGGGGAAATTTAGGATTATTATTCTGTTTTCACATTCAAAAAATTTCAGTAAATCAGATTCAAAATTATTTCGTTGCAGTCCTTGATCATTTTTTCTTTAATTACCTTGGACAGTAATCCATCCCGTGTCTTCAAATTAGCCTAAACATCCAAATGTGAAAGGTTTCCGTCATATAACACAGCAGTGGCAGTTTGGTGCTCTAAACAACTATCAAACGACACTGAAATAATCTAGAAACACAAAAACACAAGTGAGCCTCTGCGCCAAGTGGTTTCCTGTGAGGAGAACATTAAGCTTTGATGAATTTCTGCTTGGAGTACCAGAATATACAGAGCTCTTATGAATCTAAGTGGAATTTGGCTTTGAAATTGGCCCTTTGAGCAATACACTTAGAGCAGAAGAGGGGGATTCGCTTTAAAAAGGGCTTTTGGGTTTTTAGAAATGACCTGTGAATGAAAGCAAAGCAACTGAAGCTTCTGGTGGAGAGTGTGTGGAATTTGACGTTGAAACGTGTATCAGAACCAAATGTTAGCCCATTGGTGATAAAATGTCTGTTTGTGTACGTGACACTGGCATCATGTGTATTTTTACATTTCTGTGAAGGTTTTTGCAAACATGTGTCCGTCTCATGGATATACACACACTCACTCACAACACACTCCTTCTCTAGTACCAGATGGCATCATTGTTGTCGGTGCTTTGAAGAATCACATGAATTTTAATGAACAGAATAGATCCGCAAATACTACGTGGGGGTGTGGGTGTGTATATAACTCTGAAAAATGTAGATTGACACAATTTGGACAGATGGTTTGGTTCATGAAGTTGCACTTTTTGTGTAACATTTTGTTGTGATGATGGAACAGGAAGTAGGAGTCGGTCCTGTAGCCAGCAGGTTGCTGGTTTAAGCCCCTGTTCAGCCTGTCTCTGTGACTGTGCTATTTAGCAAATACTTAATCTGTTTTTCCTGCTGATGGTGCTCACAGGGCCCAGCAGTGCTGGGATTTCTTCCTTAGGGCAACTTTAATGTAAAATCTGTGAATGATTGAATGCGGTATGGAGTCCTTGGAATTGAACTTTGCAAGTGCAGTCTGCTTTATTTCCTGAATAACTGAATCAAAACTAAGGCTATGTTCCCACTGTAGGCATGAATGCTCAGTTCTGATATTGTTGGTAAAATCAGATTCTTTTGCATCGTTGTTCACACTTCCAAATATATGCAACTTGTATGGGATCCCCTGTGTGAACTGCATTCACACAACTTAAGTGTCCCACATGTGCAGTAGAGGACGCAATTATGTCACAAGCAAGCATGCTCCGTGTTTACGGAAGTAAACATGGATGGTAGTGCCAGAGCTGATCCAGCAATGTTTAATTTCTTTCCCAACCTCAGCCAGTGCATTGACAAAACAATCTTACCAAAAGGTCGGTTGTTTTTTTTCCCTGCTTCTGCGTAGCAAGACACAGAATAAGAACCTTTGTTGAGCATTAAAGGTAAAGTCCGGTCATATTAATAATTCAAAGTTCTGAAAGTACTTTAAATATGAAATTATTACATACTATTCAATAAATGATAAGTGTTTTTATTCAAAAGTAATTTTCTTTAGAATGTGTTTTACTGAAGGCTCCCATATTTGTCAAAGAACACTACTGCCACCTACCGATATATGACGTCATGGTGCGGTATCGGCGGTTGATCAAGTCCCAGTGATCAAGTCACAACACGCTATTATCCAAGTCATCTTGAAAACATTCTTCTTCCAAAAGTTGGCTACATATTACGTGTTTTTTTCTGGCCAGAAGTTCGATGGCAAATCCTCCCTCTTCAAGTTGGCGATCCAACGACGAACCCGTCCGTGGAGGATCAGGAATCAGAAAGGTGGAATAACAATTTTTTTTCACTTTTACCTGATGTATTCCAAAATCCGACTGCCATGCACGTGGGCATAGTCAGTTTAACTATGGCTCTAGTGAATTTCAAAGTGGAATTCCTCTCAAAATAAATAATTGTTGTTGATTGCAAAATTGTTTATTAAAGTAACAGTCCGGTCAGCAAGGAAGAATCAATTGATCATCATCTATACCTAAAAGTAATATGTTTGCAATGATTAAATGAATTTTGATTATATTTTTTATAAAAAAATAAAAACAATAGTTTTCTGGGAGTCTTGGAGGGGCCATCTTTGTCCAAATATAGTAACACCTCACTCCTGACATCTTCCGGCAGTGACGTCATGGTGCAGTAGGCCTAGTGCCATCCTCCTCACTGAGTATGTAATAATTTCATATTTAAAGTACTTTCAGAAGTTTGAATTCTGAATATGACGAAACCTCTCTTAAATGTGAAGTAAAAACTAACACTGATCCATCCTTTACCCTAACACCTAAACCTACTTACCTTACCATAAGCTCCTACTGCTGCCAACAATAACTTTGTAGGCTAACGCGGTCACATGATACAATGTCATTTGTACTGGCCGTCAAAGTATGATGGAGTGTCATTAACAGTTTGACCAAGCATCAGTATTGGACGAGTTGGGCGTGAGAATGTGTTGGATAAAGAGACAAATCCTTACTTTTTTTTTTTTACATTTATGTCCGGACAGCATCACTTCCATCCACTCTGTACCTTTGTCTTAATTTTACATACTCATGTCCAACTGGTCTTGTTCCTTTGACTTAAGAGGTCAAAGTGATATGGTTTCTCCCTTCTTTTATTTCATTGCTCTCACCTAAATCTGTGCTTTCTCATATGGCCCTTTACTCCTCACGTTTTGTAGTCCGCCATAGTTCTTTTACTTGTTTCTATCCCAGCTCTGTCTCCCATTTTCTTCATCTTCTCTTCCCATCTGCTCTTAGTCTTAAAACTCAATGTTTCCCATTGAGTTTTAACAGAGTATCTATTACTTTCTCCACTTGTTTTCTCTTCAATTGATTCCTCTTGGAACTCCTTCCTATTCTGCATTTATTCGGCTTTCTCTTCCCTGTTGACCTTTGCAATAATTGACCCATCAGTTGCTCTTCTCCAGTTTAGCGTTGGAGGTTTTGACATCCTGTCAAAGGATCTCCACATCTGCTACAGGAGTCTACACAAACAACCGTGACCTTTGAAGCATCCTGACTCCAAGCCTGCGTGTCTGTGTGTGTGTATGCGGGCATGAGGGCACATAACAGCGTCTGTGTGTTCATAGAGCTGACCACTCACCGTTGAAAGTGTCTGAATTTTGATTAGTCTGTTTGTGTGAAATTTTATGGCTGGCTTTACGCTCCACATATGCATGCGGGCTGTTTGTCCAGCAGTGTGTGTGATTGGCTTTTGGCTTCCAGGAGGTGTCTGACAGTCTGTTCTATCGGAGCGTGTGTGTGTGTGTGTGTGTGTGTGTGTGTGTGTGTGCGTGTGCACATGTGTGTCATCACCACCACACGCACCCACCAGCTCCACAACCCCCACCCCACAGCCCCCCAACACCTGGCTATTCATTATGCATGCAGAAAGGAGCAGATATCGAAATGCCACACTTCATGAGCCAGTCTAGTGTCAACACACACACACACACACACACTATTTTCTGACCCATGCATATACAGTTTGAGAACTAAAACACTAACATGCTTTGTGTTTACTCCATTAACACAGATCTATCCACCCTAAGACCTGAACAAAAACATTTTATAATGACAATAATGACCCCCTCCCTACCGGATCATCATCATAAGAATAATGTTTTTGATATTGAAATGTTTTTTTTAAAAACCGTGATTTCAATATTGACCTGAATATTTAAGATAATTTTATTCCATATTCCAGTAGCTTTATAACCTCTCTAGACAGTTTACACCCCCAGGATGTTTTCGCTGTTTGTTTGAGCCGTGCTGTCATTTCTCTATTTATGCATCTTGATTTGCTTTAACTTTTACCGTCCTCAGCTATTATCTGTCTAAAC